GTGGGTGGATGAATGGATGGAGAGATGGGTGAATAGTGGATGGATGGATGAACAGATGGATAGATAAAAAATAAAGATTGTGCCTTTCACTTTTAATTTTTTCTTAAAAGAGAATACACACATAACCAAACTGTCATCAGTGGTTAGCTATTGTCAGAGGAACTGGGAATTTGTGGAGTATTAGCATGGCTTTGAGAGATTTTTCACCTTTCATTCTGTACTTTTCTGTAATGTTTGCATTTCCTTGCTATGAGTGTGAATTGTTTTTATAGAGTTGGGATTACCTGGTTGACATGATAATGGGCTGTTTGTTTTCTTCCTTATGAGAATATTTTTAATGACTAAACTTTGAGGAACAGGCCCCTAGGAGCTTCCTATTGTGTGATATGATTAACACTCTTGCCTCACTTTTGATGAACCTAATGGACACATCTGTGTCCTCGCCTGACACTTATCTATGCCCCGGTCACGGGTTTCTCTGAGACACTGGGTTTTCCCCGGTCTCTGGCTGTGCCTTGTCGCTCTCCCTGTGCTTGTCGTGCTGTGTCCAAGCCTGCCCGTCTTCTCGACCTCCTCCCTCTGCCCATCTTCTTCCTCCACACCACGGCGTTAGCTGCGTCATCTGTGCCCGTGACCCCCAAGCCTCTGGCTCAGCCCCGATCTCCTTCTGAGCAGGAACCCCCGGACACAGAACATACGGAGCTGTCATGAGAAATGCAAGGTGGAGCCACTGCCCAGCAGCCCCCACGACTGCACGCGCACCCCACGTTCGTCTCACTTTCATCGTGCCCCACACGGAAGTGACCATTGTCCGTACTGTCCTTGCCTCTCAGGACAGACGCCTCCACACGTCCGCTCGCCCGGGCCGGAGCACGCCAGCACGCAGGGCCGAATGTGCTTCAGCCCCGGAGAGCAGAGGATTGCAGGCAGAAACGTGAGACATCTCCTCTGCACACCTAAATTTATACTCAGATTTACTTACCCTTCCTTGGGTAATGAGGGTTAGGGTTAGCAGTAGGGTTACACGTAAGTATTATGGGATATAATCATTACGTCTCCCTTACGTGGAGCTAGCACAAAGAAGGATCCTGGGTTTTATGTTTTTAAACAAATGACAGCCACCTGTGACACGGCTCACAAGGCTGGGTGGGCGCATGTCTGTGTGCCAGGCCTACCCTGCCTCTCTGACGTCCCCTCACCCTGGCTCCTCAATCCCTGTTTACTCTTCTGTATTTTGGGTCATTTAAAGCTGCCTCAGTGCCCTGGTGAAGGAAGCAAGAAGGAAGTAACGTCCACCGGTGAGATTGGTGCTGGCCCCGGCACAGCGCGGAAGGGAGCGTGCTCGGGCACCCCAGTGCCTGAGCAGCACCAAGCCAGCTCCTGTCCCTGCACCAGGGCCTTCTCGAGAACATGCCACGGACCAGCCATTCCCCGTTTCTCTGGGGCGTCCCCACCCGTGTGCAGGGATCTCTGCCCGGTGGAGAACCTCGACTTCTGCCCTCTGACCGCCTTCCCTTCCTTGCCCTGGGTGCAGGTGTGCACCTGCCCAGTGCCTGCCCCTCAGGCAAGAGGCTGGACTCCCAGCAGTGACTCTTTTGGGACACTCTTTCCTTCCACAGAGTCATCCAGAGCCAAGGCAGCTGTCACCTCCTATCTGGAACTTGTGGCTTCCCGATTTGACGGGTCCCTTGGAAGAACCATGCTACATTTCCTTTGCACACACGTCTTTGTGATAAAATAGTGTGTGTGACAAACCTGGGTGACCCACCTGCCTGTGCAATTAGCGACTGTGGGCACGGTGCTGTTGCCTTTAGCATCAGTGTGCTGTGACTGCCTTGGTCCCCTCCAGCCCTCCCCAAGTATCCCCAGTTATTTCCAGGGGTCTCGTGTGCCCAAGGCTCATGAGACCCCTCAGCACTACCAGCACTGGGCTGGGGTTCTAGTGGGTCCACACCTGGCAGCAGGCACAGTGAAGGGTCGGTGCTGGCACTGGAGCCTGACCTTCTGGGGTCCGGCTGCCTCAGGCTCTGCCAGGGGCCCTCCCAGGTCCTGCCTGTCACGTTCAGGGGTTAGGAACCAAGTGAGACCAGCATACCCCAAGGCGGCCATGCGGTCTGTAGGGGCAGCACCACGTAATGGGCAGAGGCTGTCTTGGCACTCTGTGCTAGGATGAGGGTCTCAGCACCTGTTGCCTGGGCTGTGTGACCTTGGCAACTTGCATGGCTTCTCTGAGCCTCTGTGTCTGCCTCTGGATGGTAGGCATGGAACGTCCCCTTGGGCTATTCGTACAAGTAAGCAACACACCAAAGCAAAGCACCTGGTGTCCCACTTTCACCTGCATCGACTCTGTCAATGATGGCTGTATTTCAGCAAACACGGGTGGCCAACTGCCTTCTCAGTGGGTGGCTGCTCCACGTTTGCACATGGATCCCAGCAATTTGAGACGGTGACCCTGCAGCAACTACGAACCCCAGGTCTGCTGTCCCCAGATCCCCAAGGGGTGGAGCCCAGGATCTCCCACACTCCGCCAAGCCCCAGGCAGCGCCTATACATGCTGCTAAGCTCGGGTGCGCGTACTTGGACTGGATACTTCTTGCTTTTGTTCATTATCTGTATCTCCTACCAAGACATTCACACTTACCGGTTTGGAAGCAGCACAGATCAGTTAGTACAATTCCCTGGCTCAACCTTTTACCAAATAATTTCTTTCTCTTGTGGCTTTTCAACCACAGGTAAAAACAGGTCAGGCATATGTGTAAGCCACCGCCAATAGCAAAGTAAGGCCCCTCAGGCCCCAGGATCGCGTTGGCTTGTTCCTGGTCGCAGAAAGTGTTTCTGAGTCTTAGCAACAGGCCTGAGTGTGGAGCCCCTGCCTGCCGGGCCAGTGACCGATAGCAGCCACCACAGAATAGCAGATCTTCCTTTCTGCATGCAGGGTCTGCTGCAACAAGTCGCACACTCCACTCCTGGTAATCACACCAAAGACGTCGTTTTATACTTGCAATATATCCTTGAGCGTGAAGCCACAGAGGCGCACAGAGGAGCCAGGAAGTCACAGCTGTGGGACCAGACGTGACAGGGGCTCCTGAGTCAGGACGTGGGCAGTGATTTACATCCTCGCCCGCCACAGCGCCCTGTGTCAGCTCCGTCCAGCAGAGCAAACCACAGCTTCTCAGCTCCTTGTCACTTTGGCCGTGACTACATGACCTTAAAATACCTGCCTGAAAAGCAAAAGTTTCAGCTAATATTCACAGGCTTGGGCACACGATGCCAAACAAGGCCTTTCAACTGAAGAGGTGTGTTTTGTTGCTGCTGTTTCAGACGCATCATTCTGACCCCTTGCAAGGGAGCTCAAAGAAATGTCTTTTATGCTCTGTTGGAAACACAGGCGATCATTGGAAATGGGAGACTCACAGAAAACCGTCAGAGAAAAACGTCCCTAAAGAGTGCACCGTGCCAGGCATGCCAGGCACACGGGCACGGCCTGGTTTGGGGACTGCTGGGAGGCGCTGTCTGCTCACCAGCTCGGCCTGCGTGGGCTCTGGGGGTCTCGGTCACTGTGACCCCTGGGCCCGGGTCCATCTGCCTTGCTAAAGACAACATAAATGGAGAGTCTCCCCAACACTTTGCTGGCACCATCCTCACGTCTTGACATGTCGTTATGTGGGTTGGCTCCGTGGGCCCTGGAGCACCCTGTGAGGTAGGTTTCACCTCTGTGACCACGCCTGGTACAGAGGAGGAAACTGAGGCAAGAGATGTTGAGTGGCTTGGCCAGGGTCACACAGCTGCTAAGGAGCAGAGTGAAGATGTGAACTGAAGGAGACTGGCTCCTGAGTCCACGCCGGTGACCATGTCAGTAAATGTCTCACCCAACACAGTGCGTCCTAAACGGCTCACCCAGATGCACGGCCCGCCCCGCCGTCTACACGTGCACACAACGCGCAGAGTATTCCCCATGGACGCTGGGCACGCCTGGGCCGGCGTGGCTGAAGACCCACTAAGTCCTTCCGTCTGGGACCTGCCTGGACTCTGTTTTCGTTGGTGGCTTCAGCATGTCTCCTTTCTGAGCCTTGTTCACAGTGACTGGACATTAGCCACACAGGTCTGGTCCTCTGGAAGTGGCGCGGCAGAAACGCAGCTGTACCAGGAGCAGAATTCGGTACTCGGCAGTGTCACCAGCCGGCATTCTGAAGAATCCGAGTCTTTTTCTCATGTGCTCCGGCAACGGCCCTTGGGAGTCTGCAGATATGACAAGACATTCCAGAGAATAGCAGGACCTGTACCTGCTCTGCTGACTGGGGGTGAGCACGGCACTGTTCTTGACCACACTGAGCTCATGTATCGTGGGGACTGTGCCTGAGTCATATGCCACCACAGGCACGTCCCCCTGAAGGAACCACACAGAAAACCAGCCGTAGGAAGAGGAGAGGCCCTAACGTGTCTAGGCCTGGATGTGTTAGGGAAGCAGCCTTCGTCAGCAAGCTCACGTGTGCGAGAGAGGTCAAGGCCTTATTGTATTTTATCTAACTCATTTATTTCAAGCCCCAACCTCGTTTCCCAGTTGAGGAAAACTTGAACCTGAGTCTTCTTGGGCAGCTCCAGAACCTGTACAGTTTTGTAAGGTTTCTTTTGTTTTTGTGGAGGGATTTGCTGGGGCCAGGGGCCGTGAGCCTGTCTGCCTGGTTCCGGAGCTGGGGCTCCAGCACAGGCACCTTGCTAGGGGCCACCTGGGGCTGCCAGACCAGAGCTATCAGGTAGAGATGTGATGTGAGCCACATATGTGAGTTTGAATTTTCTAGTAGCCACATTTTTAAAAGTAAAAAGAAATAAGCAAAAGTGATTTTAATAACATATTTTGTTCAACACAATGTATTAAAAAATGCATTATTTTCAATCCACAATCACATACTTTGGTATTGCCCAAATGAGTTGAAAACATATGTCCACACAAAAACCTGCACACAATGTTTACAACAGATTTATTCATAATTCCCCAAATTTGGAAGCAACCAAGGTGTCCTTCAGCAGGCGAATGGCTAGACAAACTGTGCTACATCCGGACAGCAGAAGCTGTTCAGCACTGTGAAGAAAGGAGCTCTCCAGGCATGAGAAGACACGGGGGAGACGTGAATGTACATAACTAAGTGAAAGGAGCCCTCGGAAGAGGCTCCGTGCTGCGCGGTTTCAACTGCAGTCGGCCCCTGCATCTGCGGGTCCCCATCTGTGAATTCCAGCAACCACAGATCAAGAATATGCTTTAAGAAAGAAATTTTGTCTGTACTAAACATGTGCAGACCTTTAGGTTTGACCCTAAACAAATATAGTATAAAAACTATTTACATAGCTTTCACACTGTGGGTGGCATGGTAAATGATACGGAGATGATTTAAAGCATAAGAGATAATACGCACAGGTTTCACGTGAACTCTAGGCCACTTTATATCAGGAACTTGAGAATCTGCCAATTTTGGTATCTGAGGGGGGTCATGGAACCAACCCCCCAAGGATACCGGGGGACTACGATAAGTGACATCCTAAAAAAGGCAAACCTATGAAAACAATACAAAGACCAAGGGTTGCCAAGGGTTGGGGGAAGGAAGTCCATGTAGCCAGAGCACAGAGGATTTTTAAGGGAGTGAAACTATTTTATAAGATACTGTAATGGTAGACACATATCATTTTCCATTTGTTAAAACCCAAGAATGTAGCTCACCAAGAGTGAACCTTAATGTGGACTGTGAACTCAGTGACAATGGCATGCCAGTGTAGGTTTAACCACTGTAGCAACAGACTATCACCCAGGTGGGGTGTGGATAGTGGGGGATGCACCGTGTGGGTGGAAAGGGGGCACCTGAGATAGCTCTGCACTGTTGACTAAGGAAAAACAATCAACTTTTAAAGAATTAAAGTCAGTTTTATTCGGAAGCCTTGCTGAGGCCTGCAGACCTAGAGGTCGTGCCGGGCTGCTCTCAGCTGACACACCGGTGGTGGGCTCCGTGCCTGCAGGGATTTGGGCTTGGGTGTAAGAGCACATCTGGTTATAGATAACGTAGGCATAGCCACGATCCCTGTCAAACACTAGCTATGTGTAGGGAAAACCAGGATGGGGTCTTGTACCTCCTAAGGAACACAGCGACTGGAGCAAGAGATGCGGAGCGACGCGTCTGTGCTGTTTTGTCCTCAGAGCGTCCTGGAGCTGCCGGCCGGCGCGGAGCCGGGGTCTGAGAAGCTGTGCTGGGAGCAGAAAGGAGCAGACATGGCTTCTTTTTGCTGAGAACCTAAAACTGCTCTACAAAATAAAGCTTTGAAAATCGCCTTCCTTTTTCATAATAAATCTTCAAGATCCAACGTGTACTTACACACACTCAACTCAGAGACGCCCAGGAGTCCCAGCCGGCTCCCACGCTGCCCGGCTGCCCCGAGGCCACACCTACACCGCCTGGTTACCTGCGGGAAAGGAAGCCACAGGGTAGGAAAATGAGGGGAAAGGAGAGAGAGCTTGAGGCCCAAACACGGAGTCTTTGTCATCTAGCAACCTCCTGGCAGTGGGGAACCACTCAGTTATCCCAGCATCGTATCTCCACACGCCAAGTGCGCAATGCCGGTATGATGGCGGCGTCCAGGGACAGCTGGGCACGTTCCAGCCCTCGGCTGGGCACAAGCACTCGCAAAGCAAAGGCCTTTCCGGAGCTCACTTTGTCTTTTCTAAACACACCAGTGGGCAAAGCTTTATGTTTGAGTGCTCGAAGCTTACGGGCTGTAATATTTGGAGTCTCTTCCTCAGTTCTATTTCACGACAGCCCCGCTGGAGGAGCGGTGCCTTGCAGATGTTTGGTGCATAGACGCCGAATTGAGTGGATAACTCCTACTTTAGAAACGGCTAGTGTTTTAGGGCAATTAAATAAATAGGTAACAGAAATTCTCTTACTTTGCTATATAACGTGGGAAGTTAGTTTTAAAATAGAGCTTTAGAAAAAACACAAATCATAAAACATACATTATTTTATGTTAGAACTGGCTGCTTTACATCTGAAAGCCATTTATGGAGCATTTTAACTATCAACTGCTCCATTGAAAATGAAGGTTGTTACTAATGAATAAATCTGATATGTATCAAAATAGTCTCTCTGAGGACGATGTGAGCCACAGCAATAATGACCCAAAGCTCACATTCCACAAGTCCTTTATGAGTGTGAATTACCCCCTCCCCCTGCAGCCCGGTGAGCCTCGTGCCAATCCGGGTGGCAGGTGGAGCAGCGCACGCCCCAGGCGGGCCAGGCCGCCTCGGCTCTGCCACAGCTCGGCCGTGTGCTGGCATGGCCAAAGTCGCTTTTCCTCCCACATAGCAGAAAGCAAGCAGCCACTTTCTCCGTAGAGTTCTGGAGGCTTCTGCGAGAAAGTTCACAGAGATGAACGCAGCACCAGGCACACAGCGAGTGCTCAGTAAGTGCTAGAAACAGAAGCTGCTCTTCCTACTTACTCCTCTGGGAAGGCGCCAAGGACAGAGCCAGCCTGCAGGCATATGTCCTGAGTCAGTGGAAGAATGAGTTGATTTTTCGGGAGTTGAGAGAAAGAAAATGAAAAGAAAATAGAGAATTGGGAAAGAAAGAAGTGGGGAAAGGAAATGAGAAGGCCCAAGAATAAGGAGGAGAAGCCGGCAAGGGAGAGGAGAAGCCCCGGCTGCGGCTGGGCTCGGCTCCGGGGAGGCCGGGCCGGGAGCACTGGCGGCGGGGAGAGGGCAAGCCGCCAAGTTCTGTAATAAAGAAGTGATTAATTGAGGCAGCCCAGGAGAGGATTAGAACAGAGAGCTTTTGATATTGTGCAGTTAGGAAGGAAGACGGCAAAGAATTTTAAAGCACATAAAAAAAAAAAAGGAGAAAGAAGAGCTGAAAAAAAGATGAGAGAACTGATTTTTTTAAATGGGTTTGCTGTTTAATTCAGTGAAGCAGGCAGTACTTCACTAACAATGTGAATGTCTCCTTCTGCTTTACTTTTCGTAGGGAAACATAAATCCCTGTTTGAAAATCTAAATATACCAGGACGCGATAAGGTGAAATAAAATTCAAGAAATGCGGTGTAAAGCAACCATGCTACTTAAGCTCTTAAAGGACTTTCAAAATCCAAATCTAAAAAAATAAAATCTAAATTTTATTTCCCATGCATTCATTGTAAAAATTCCAATTCTTGTATGACACAGGTGCAAAATTCAGAGTGAAGTGGATTCCCTAACATTCCCTGCCTCGCTGGGCCTCTAAGGTAAAGTTGTTGAATAAGAGACTCTGAACACCTAAGACCACAGGGGTCAAGTAGGGTGGAGGACTGAGCAGAATGACAGCATTTCCACCGTCAGATGTGGACTAAAATTCCCCAGAATTGATGCAACACCTTCCTGAGCATCTGAAATTAGTATATATTTCTAATTTGTCTTCACCAACGCTTCTGTTGATTGTCGGGACATTTTCTATCTCTAAGAAATACGTGGATTTGAGGGCCTGTAAGTGGATGTTCATAAATTGTCAAGGTCATTTCAAAGTTGGTGAATTGAGAGACCAAGAGGTAACATAACTTCTTGCAGGTCCCAAAAACCTGGAGTAAGATCGAGACTCATTTCCTTCCCCGGCCAATGCGCCATCCTTGGAATCTTGGACTGACCATTTGCCAAGTAATCAAAAAAGTCAAAACAGTGCGTTTTGTGGAGTATGGCAGTCTGGTATATTTCCAGTGGTTTGGAAAATAAATTTCTTTTTATTTTCTAAGAACTACTAAGGATTACTTCTGAGAAAGCTATTCAGTAGCTGAGCTACAGTTAGCCCAGAAGCCTACACCACCCACAGCCCAGGGAGAACTACCCAGGATTTGATGGGAGGAGGCTGAGACGTGTTGAGCACGTGACCAGGAGCACATGTCACTCAGCAAACAGTCCTTGTTACTTCATTATCGAGTGGAGAAGAATTCACAGAAGTGAGAGGCTCCCCACGCTAGGCAGTCTGAGTCCTCGCCGACTGGAAAAAGCCATGTCCACTCAAGGTCTGAAAATCTCATGTACGAAAGGGAAAACTCACGTGCACAATAATGGGTACTTATTGGACAGTCTATGCACCCAAAGCAGTTATGCTAATGTCTTTAGCCACTGCTTTGCACAGACCACTATATTTAAAAATTTTTACAGTACCTGAATAGCTTAAGAGATCTGAGATCTAACTCCAATTTATCTACTAACTAATCTTGAATAAGTTAGATTTCTTTGGATCTCAATTTTTCCCTCTGTGAAATGGGAATATTAGACCAATTGATTTCTAAGACTCTTGCCAGGTTGTATTGTTGCCTGAGCTCCCGTGGTCTACCCTCTTCTGAGCCTCAGTTTCCCTCCCTATAAAGTGCTGGAGTTGAACCAGATGGCCCCTGAGGCCTCCGGCCTCCCAGATAAAGCCAGTACTGTGGATTTAATCCACTAGGCATTCTAGTTACATAGACATCATTGCAGTCATTTGTACAAAAACAGAAAGAGCCACACTTCAGTTAAGGGCCAGGAACACACATCCCGTTGGTGTTGCAGCCTGGGGCTGGTGTGCCCTGGGTCACCAGTGCTCAGAGGGCGGCCAGGCGCAGGAGGCCTGAATAAACGCCGATTAAGTGGAGGAGAGAGGGAGGCTCTGTTTCTCCCCTTTGCAAGTGAAAGTCCTGGCATGGCTCGCGCAGTGGGGAAGTGATGCAGGCCTGACCCGAGCTCGGGCCCAGCAACCCCACCCGGCCCTCTACACGCTGTTCCGTTGTTCCGCATAACGGAACGACTCCCGCGGTCCGTTTCTGAAGAGGAGAGCGAAGCTCTGCCAGGCTGAACACGAGGTCCCGGCACAGCCGGGCGGGTCAGGCCTCGCCACGCCTGCTCTGGCCTTCGGCTGTGTTTCATTGTCTACTTTCACTGCATCAATAAACTGTATGCCTTTCTCGTTTTTTTCCGGAGTAGAAGTTTAGAGTATTTCACTAAAACCTCAGTCTTGTAACCCCCGCTATACACGGAGAATCTCCTGAATTTGTCAAAATATCAGCTTTCAAGCAATTCAAAAAATCCTAATTGTAAAATCTGTGCACTGGTATCAATTCTATTTTTATCATGGGAGGTAAAAAAAATTTAAAGGAGACCTTTACAAATCCCCTATGATGAAATCTAAATCACAGAAATTCGGAGGCAGGTGACTGTGTCGGTCTTTTACAAAATTCACATGGTTTCTTGGTGCTGCAGAGGGAAGGTCCCCGGGGACAATGAGTGTGAGGAAAGGTCTGCCCAAGCCGAGGACACCCCGGGGCCACACTCCCGGCTCAGACAAGCAGGGAGGCGGGCGCACAGAGAGACGCCAAGGGCCACCGGCCCTTGAAGCGTTCAAGCTGGCATGCGCCATGGTGGCAGCACGGCCAGAGGGCATGGTGTTGGGCTTGTTCAGCCTAAGGTAAGGAACACTGATTTGCTGGATGGGAATGGAAAGTTGAAACATGGTGCCAGCCACCTGGATAAATGAAACTCGAATTGTCCCTGCCCCCTCCAGAGTCCTGGCTCCGTGGCCTCGGGAAGCCTGTGCCTCGAAGCATCGCTGGTGTAGGGTTCACAGCCCCCGTGGCAGACGCGGCCGAGAACTGGTTGTGTTTTCCTCCCCATGACCGAAACTTCCATTCTGTGCAGTAAAACAGCAACCTGCACCCCCAGAAACGTATTCCTTCTTTGGGATATTTCTAAACATAGCCCAGTTCTAAGCAGGCAGACAGTTACATTTTAGGTGTGGTTCATCCCTCCACTGGGGGACGGCTGTCCCGGGGCAGGAGGGTGTTGGCTCGGTCGGGACACGGCGCCATCTGAGGTCTCCCTGCGGAACCCCAGCACTGCCCATCCAGGGAAGGCGGCGGGCTCTGCTCTTCCCTATAGCAGGACGAGAGTCACAGTTAAAAGAACTAAACCGTTTTCCCTGTTGGCATGAACTTCTAGAAATGTTTTACCAGAAGAAAACCAATATTCCAAATGGGTTTTACCTCAAATTGACAAGAGAAGTAGAAGTTTGTGATTTATAAACAGCACGCCCCTTTTTCCAGAAATGCAGCTGGAGTCATTTTACTAAAGCAATACTTAGCTGTCGAGTATGACAGAGCACACAGAAAACCGTCTGCACCCATGGGCGGCAAGGCCACAGGAGCGGAGCGGTCACTGCAGGACTGGACAGGCTCGGCAAGACACCTGGCCACCGCCAGGCCACTGTTGTCAGCCTCGGTAGCAACACAATAAGTAGTCTGCTCCCATGAGGGCCAGCCTGGGGGCTGCAGAACCCACTCCTAGCCCCGCACATGGCACATCGAGGCCGCCATTGAGTTCACTGAAGCTTGTGGAAACTGTTCTCAGTGGAGGAGACTGCTGCCTTCTTTGTGGAAAATTCTGGAAATTGTTGGATTAGGCCACACCTCCCCTGGGAGCACAGGGGGCAGGGTGCTTTCCTGACCAGCACTTCCAGAGAGAACCTTCTAGCAGTCCCTCCAGGCCCAAATCAGGTTTGAAGGGCGAAAAGGAGAAAGTGGGGGCACTCTTGGGCTGGGCCCCCCGCCAACGGCCTCTGCTGGGGCCCTGGCCGACCTCGAGTCCCTTTCCAGGGCTGGGGACAGCCGGATCCCCACGGCCTTGCTGCCTGTCTGCCATTCAGCCCGTCTGCCTTTTTGTTTACACTGTGAGCACAATGGGAGCTCCAGTCCTCCCAATACATCATTTATAAGTGTATTCTACCTCTGAATGTACAGGCAGAACTGGCTGTGGGTGAATAAGCTCTGTGAATATTGCCAAGACACTGTGCTTTGTTCAGCATTATTCTTCACAATGGATACCACACTTTGGAAGTAATTTTAAAAAGGGAATCAAAATAGTGGTACTTTTAGCCTTTGTTTCTTTTATACCACACTGCATTCTCTGTCTCTCATTCAGCCGCTCCCATTATACTGACAAATTAAATAAACCACTCCATTGCAGAAAGGCTTGGGCAGGCAGGACTTCACTCCACTGCAGCCCCGGGAAGTCGAAATAAACATTGAGGTGGTTTCTGCTAGCAATTCGGCTAACTTTAGTCGTGGAGAAAAAAAAATGGGGGGAGACTTCAGAACTTGAGCTGGTCAGTGGCCCCGAGATTTGACCTCTGCAGCGGGTCACAGACCACCGCCTGGAGGGCCAGTCTTCCTTCCTGCTGCGAGGCCCTGGAGCGTGAATGGTAAGTTCCAGGAGGCTCCGGGCACCGGGGGCGGCCAGCCGGGCGCAGGCGGTGGACCCCGCGAAGCCGAGCAGCAGGCTGTCCTGGACTCCCAGAGGCCCCCTTGCCAGCAGCACGGCCCCCCTGTCCTTCCAGGCGGCCTTGCACTCGCCGAGCTGCTTCCCAGGGAGGGAGCGGCTCCAGGAGGAGAGTCTCTGACTCCCCGCCTCTCTCTTAAACTCTACTTTGACTTTGAGAAGTTTTTGACTTGTGCAATTCACAATCTGCCTTTGAGATTCAGGCAAGAAGGGAATAAATAAAAGACAAACAGGAAAGATAGACAGAATTTTTGAGTGTGGTATTGTTTTTGGTTTCTTTAAGGTCCAAACATGCACCAGAACCATAAACAAAACTTACGGGTGATGACGCCCCTCTAGCTTTTGGCATTAAAGCATCTTTATTTGTTCAAATGAAAATACAAAAAGTTTATATTTGGGAATGAAGTTCTTTCAAACTAATAAGTAATTATTTTAAAAAGACAAATTATTTTTGTTTTGAAATAGAATAGAGATGGAAATCATTTTGGTTAAAAATCTGGGTTTGTAATTGTTAGTAAGGCACAAGGCGTGGCGGAGCCGTTTCTGGAGGTAGCTCTGTCTCGATTTGCAGATGGTGTCGTGAATGTTGTAAAGGTGATTTCTCAGTGTCTGTGCTGGAACCCCACAAGCCTTCAGTTGTTTTTCTCGCTCCCACTCTCAAAAAAGCAAGTGGATTTGTGGAAAAGACAGTGGCGAGCGCGCGTTGTCAGGGCTGTCTCAGAGGCGGCCTGATTTCCTTATGAAACCGGAGTCCTGGTAAATGCCAGCTCTGAGGGCGCTTTGAAGACGCAGCCCCCAGCTAGGATGGCCTCATCTAAAATGCAGGCGACGGAGGCGCGGAGGGGCTCTGTGTTCCAGCAGAGGCGGCTGCTGGCTGCCGAGTCGGAGGGCACCACAGGCCAAGGGAAATATTGAGCCAAAGCGGTTTGAACAGCGCCATCAGGGTTCATCTTTTATTACCAAAGAAAGACTTGAAAAAGCTCAGGTGAAATTTTCCTCCATTGTCTAGGAAAATTCTCTGCAATTTGCCCCCAGGGAAGTCCAAGCGCCTGTGGCCTGGGCCCCCACCCCGCCGCCCCTCCGCCCATCTCTCTCTTCCTCTGTCGCTAAATGTCTCCCGGGTCCCTGGAGAACCGAGAGGCCGAGCAGGGGACGCTGAAGGTCAGAGTTGCCCACTGTGGCCTGACTTTTAAGCTAAAGAGGTTTTTCTTTCTCTTGTTGCCGTGTCAGGTCTAATTTGGCGGCATTATGCTAAGGGGGGTGGCCTGCTCCTGACAGGAGGGGGTTAAATGAGATTACACGCTTTGCAGGCTGTCAGCGGCTGCTGCTGCCCGGGGATGTTAAATTGCGATTTAATGGTCAGCTTTATCTGTATAGTATCAGTGGAAATCTGCTGTTTTCAGCAACTTAATTGGCACTGTGTTTGCAGGAGTTTTTCGGGGAAGTAGGGGAGCTGACCAGATTTTAGAGCTGAATTATTCAGAGATCAAACTGGCAGAATGTCAGTGGGAATCTGTGGCCTGTTTTGTTTTCCTGAAGCACAGAAGCTTATGAATGGGCAAGATGCTGAATTCTGCTGTGATACCCAAAACTTTCTAAAAATATTCATAGGGTCTGATGTAGCTCCGAGTTTATTTATAGATGGAATAAACAAAGAGTAACAGTTGCTATCACAACATATGTGCGGTGTCTAATTTGTGAGGGGGCAGTGAGAACACACAGAGAGGCAGCAGCTCCAAACAAACCCGTGTGCTGGTCTTTTCACAATTTTAACAGATGGACTCCGGGAGTGGAGCTGCGCGTTCCGGGAGTGAATTTCAGGTGACTAAGGCGCTATGCCCAGCACCTCACTGACTGCAGGGCCGAGGGTGCACGCGAGTGTGTGTGTGTGTGTGTAGGAGAGCACTTGTGTGTGTGAGGCATGCACGTGTGCACATGTGTTTGTGCACTTTGTGGATGTGAGCTCATGCACCTGTGTACACGTGTGGGTGTGTGTGCCTGTGTGGGGTATGAGTGTGCATGTGTGTGTACACATGTGGGGGTGCCTATGCAGGTGCTTTGGGGGTATGCAAACGTGAGTACACATGTGGGGGTGGGTGCACGTGTGTGTGGGTGTGCACACGTGTGGGCGTGGCCGTGTGTAGGGTGGAGCGGGAGCTGTGACGAGCTTGCTGGCGGGCCTGTGTGGCAGAGCTGTGTGAGTCAAGGCTGGACCACGTGAAGCTGCGGGCATCCCTCACGCCCTACCAGCCGCAGCTGGGAAGGCTTCCTCCAGCCTGCGGGCGGCGGGGCGCCCGAGGCGTGGCCGTGCGGGCTTCCAAGGCCCCCTCCGCAGGGGCGCCCGCCGCCCACCCGGAGCGCGCGTCCGCGGGTTGCGCATGCGCGGTGGGTGGCGGGACACCGGTGGGGTGTGCCCACGAGCACGCCAGGGGCGCGGCGCGGGGACCTGACTGGGTCGTTGGAGAAAAAAGGAAGAAGGAAGAAAGGAAAGAGAAAGTGTGTCCCCGCAGACACCAGCATTGTCTGTTCCAGTTAGGGGTCAGTCCGGAAAGTTCAGGATTAGTGAATTTAATATCCTGTCAAAATTCTCATGGTAATGAACCCCGGCCGGCGGAGATCGCGCGGCTGATTTGCGGGCGAGTGGCGGCCTGGCTGGCTGGTGCCCGGCGCCGCGGCTCTTTGGAAGAATCGTGGAAACGCGTGCAACATATTCTGAACCTAGCATGGGCTTTCCGGCCTGTGGGGCCGCCCTCTAGCAGGATCCCCACCTAACCAGGGAGCAGAGGACGGGCACGGGCCACAGCAGGAGAGGGTGGCTGTGGACCTGGAGAGGACCGGGAACCCCAGGAGGAGGGTCGCCCGGGCCACAGTCCCCGCCTGGCTGCGCAGCTCGGGTGGGTTTCAGGCTGCAAGGGCAATGCAAAATATTATGTTCCTCGGCGAGGAACATAAAAACGAGAAAGTTCCTGTGCAATTTGTTCAAGGCGCTGCACCTCTCTAAGCAGCTGTCAGATCTGTACATTATGGTACATTGAATCTGAATGAGGCTCTCAACATCAAAACCGTGCATCCATTATGATATCATCTCCCGCTCTAAGCTGTAATGCTTATTAATTCTGCACCCATACTCTCCCGGCTTCGGCAAATGTATTCCATCAGCCTAGCATTTAATTTAATTAGTACAGCTGGGCTCTCATTCTCCTTTCTGTGTCAGAGGTATTGTCAGCACGTTCTGCTGTAACACAATTACTGATTGCTTTTAGATAGGCAGAAATATGATTAGGGTATTGGGTGACTGTATCATAAGCCTTATTAGATTCATTTGAAATCTGGAGATAAATAGGAAACTTTTATTTGCAGTGTAATGAGATTATGCTTATTAGGCCAAGGCCTCACAACCTTTTGCAAAGAACACAGTGTATCAGCCGGATTATACTCTGGAACCACACGCTTTGCTCACAGCATCCGAGCCATTTCTCAGCGCCTTCGAGACTTAACTGTTGTTGCACTGTATACGCTTTAGGATTGTGGTCACCTGAGTATCTTCCTTATAATAAGAACGTGGGTATCCCTTTTCCTTCTCAAAGTCTGATGGAATATATACATCATGAAATGGGGTTTTATTTTAAAAGAAATATTTTGAAAAATCAGTAAGCAGGCTAAAAGAAATTACCCTTTTAAATATATTTATTTTCTTTTAAAGATGTTTGCATTTATTAGATGTCGCTTACAGAGACTGGCATATAATGAATGTCTTAAGAATTCCTAGTACTCAATCTCTACTGCAATGTTTAGTGATAAAACATTTATTACTGCTGTTGTTTTGATAACAGCTAGCACAAATCCGGAAGCATTTATCTTTTTGTTGGCATTTATTTGATATTCTCAAATTTCTAGTATTTGAGGGTTCATGCAGGAACTTTTGTTTACCCAGAAAAAATCGGCTCTGAAAAGTGTGAAGTTGGCATGAAAAGCTTGCATGATTTCGGGAGGTCTGCTGAAATATAATTTAGGATGGCAATATATTTAACTGAGCTGATATTGGTCAAATACACTTACTGTGTATGAAATACACAAGGAAAATGATAACAATTTCTCCTAGGTGTAAAAGTTTTGGAATCATACATGAATCTTGCTTTAGATATAAACAAGATATAACCAAGATATAAAATAAAAATTTGCAAAATACATGCAATTGTTTTAAACTATAAATTTTCTCCCATATCACTCCCACCCCCTTTTATCAGATCATTTATAACATTATTTGATATCAATAAATCTAAGTAGATTATTTTCATAAATTCATCTATTGTATAATGCAAGTCCCACATACAAAGAGAATGTGGTTTAGTGTTAACTTACACAAAACAAGAAGCATTTATTTCTTAGTTAAATATGTAATCAAATCAAGGTATATAAAAAGACAAACCTGTGTTGGCTCACCAAAACCCAAAGCAAAAAAGGAGATGGGCAGTAGGTTTAGGAGGGTATTGCTTAATGGGTACAGCGTTTCCCTTTAGGGTAATGGAAAAGTTTTGGAAACAAATAGTGGTGATGTTTATACAACATATGAATGTAATTAATACTACTGAATTGTACACTTAAAAATTCTTAAAATGCCAAATTTCATATTGTATATATTTTACCTCAATAAAATAAAATGAAAGGAAAAGAACAGTTCGGGTCAGCATGAAGGCCATCAGTATCAGTTGCAGGTTACAGGATGCCTGTGTGCTCTGTGACTTCACACTTCAGCCTGTGGATTGCCCAGTGACAGTGAGAGCTTCTTCTACTTTATTTCAAGTCCCAATTTAGTGAGCTATTTATTCATTCATGCAAGTTCAATTTGATCATTTCCTACCAAATAAAATATATGAAATTCTGATTAGGTATTTGTTCTTTCCCAAAAATGGTACATGACAAAGATCTTGCTTGACCTTGGTAAGAATTCTTGGTGACACAAATCACATCCGGAATTGAAATCAGCTGGCTGTGGCTGAGTGCTACTATTTATTGAAGGACAGGATAAATAAGGAATGAATACAACCAAGAAACATCCAAAATGCTCCAGTGGCTTTTTATTTCTTCATGGCACTGAGGAAAAGGTAACCAAGAGCCCTGCCATCCATTGCCACCTTTGGATGGGAGGTGTTGAAAGGGAGACAGGAACCTATGGCACAGTGTAGACATGGCAGGCAAGGCACAGGAGTAGCTCAGGGACCATAACGCTGACAGCCAGTGAGAGCCTTCTCCACCGCCTCTTGGCACCCGACCCTCCAGAAACACGCTGCCCGTTCCTTCTGTAAAGTACACAGCACACTCTTGCTCCTGGGAGGTGTATGTGTTTGCCCCAATGCCTTTTCTATGCCATTTTCAGTGGCTGTCATAATTTTGTGATTTAACTAAATATTATGTGAACTACTGAAATACGAGTGCAAAAAGAAAAAAAAGAAAGAATTGGCTTTTTCTATTATGAAAACAAAACTGAGTATTTTTAAAAGATTAGATAAAATCAAATGCTTTTAAAATATAGGATTATTCCAGTATAAATTATTGGGGGAAATCATTGAAATCTAAGATTCTATATTCAAATTGCTTCACAGATGGTTTTAGTTAATTGTTCTACTTTAAGGAAACTCAAAAGATTTAGCATGGATTGAAGCTATTTATGCAAGAAAGAGGCCTCAGGGGCCAGGCGCAGTGACTCATGCCTGCAATCCTAACACTCTGGGAGGCCTAGGTGGGAGGATCGCTCAAGGTCAGGAGTTCAAGACCAGCCTGAGCAAGAGTGAGACCTCGAATCTACTAAAAATAGAAAGAAATTATCTGGACAACTAAAATATATATATTAAAAAATTGGCCAAGCATGGTGGCGCATGCCTGTAGTCCCAGCTGCTTGGGAAGCTGAGGCAGGAAGATCGCTTGAGCCCAGGAGTTTGAGGTTGCTGTGAGGTAGGCTGATGCCACGGCCCTCTAGCCAGGGCAACAGAGTGAGACTCGGTCTCAAAAAGAAAAAAGAAAGAGGTCTCTCTGTGAGCCAGTCACAGCTCTAAACCCAAGGAAACACATTGGCCCTACATCAAAATGTGCACATGTTTTACATCAAATCCAGTATAGGGCTGTGTTTGTTTCCATTTCCCACTCTAACCCACACACCGGTTCCCAGCCCAGCATCAGGAGCCTGGAGGATTCTGTGCCAGGGGAGTCGGAGAGGAGACGAGAAGGGGCTGGCTGTCCCTTGCCCTCCGGACCCATAGTTCCGACTCTGAGGAATTCTTCATCCTGTGGAGGTTGCCGGGGTTGCGATAGGTAGAATCAGCAGGTGTGTGAATACCTGCCCACAGAAGCCTGGGAGGAGGGGGGCTGGATCCTGCTGTGATGCTGAGAACGGGGACAGAGCAGGGGTCGGGTGGAACGGAGTGGGACAGGAGGGAGCAGAGAGAGGTGGCCACTCTCTGAGGAAGGCTTAGCCAGTCATCCACAAAGACCTCACCTGGCGTCACGTGGATGGACGTGCTTTCTCTGTCTTCCCATCCAGTCTCAAAGTGCCAGAGGAGCGGGCGTCCTCAGTGGCTGGGGGAGCCTGGGCCAGGGGCTGGCCTGCATCGGCCCGGGCTCCGGTCCTTCCTGCCCAGTGGGCGGGCTGGGCCGAGCCCCAGAGCGCCCCCACGCTGGCGCCCTCAGCGAGCGGCCCCCCTGCGCTCGCGTCGGGAGAAGAAATGGGCGAGTTCCCGCTGGCTTGGATTTCTGCTGTCACTTGGTTCTGCCTGTGGTGCCTGGGTTCCGTTACTTAGTGTCTCTGAGTGTGTTTGCTCCTTGGTGACATGAGGGCATAGCAGCAGCTTTGTTACGGGGGTATGGTCAGGGAGTGACACGTGCGGAGTGATGTGCTGCCTATGTGACACGCAGGACGTGTCGCGCGTGAGGCCCGTGTGCATGTGGGCGCACACAGGCGCACAGCGTGGGTCTGACACCGCACGTCCTGGCGCGGCATCCGGGTCAGCCGGCTTCTCCCACGGCCACACCGCTAGCGTGTGGCGATTTCTACATTTACTCGGGATAAATAACTGAAAAGAAAACACAACTTCAAACTAGTTATTTCCCTTAATATCCATACCAAAAATAATCTTATTGGGCTGTCTTACTTTTAACCGCATCCAGTTGTTAGGGAGCAACGGACGCACTCCCGCATGCACGGGGGCCGAGGCTGTGGCCCTGGCCTCTGAGGAAAGAGAAAGCGTTACTGCGAGACAACTGGCAAGGAGACAGGAGGCAACCCTCGCATCTGTCTCCGGATCTGGGGCGAGTCCAGCTCGCACGGCACTCCCAACTGTCCCAGGCGACGGACGCAGCCAGCCCACCAGGGTGGGGGTGGTAACACGGAGGAGGTCGGAGGTCCTCCCCCCGCGTGTGCCTGGGCTACACGACTTTTAGTTTTGGCTCTGCGCCATCTGTGACAACTTGCGTAATGGTTGATCGCTTTGGGCTGGTCCCATGGCTACACAGTCAGATGATCCATGTGGCCAGCTACGGCATCAGTGTTCCTACACTTTTGGCCAAAGCAGAAAGATATGAAAAAAAGAAAAAAGAAATAAAGATAAGCAGTGGGTGAGAGTCTGTGCTGCTTTCTAGGACTGGCAGAGCAGAGTGCCGTACACCGGCTGCCTTAAACAGCAGCGATGTGTTCTCTCGCAGCTCCGGGCCGGAAGTCTGGGACGAGGGTGTGGGCAGGGTGGGCTCTCTCCGCGGCCCCGAGGGAGCACCTGTCTCTCTCTCCCAGCTGCCAGCAGTTTGCTGTGCTCTTCGCTGTTCCTTGGCTCATGGGTGCATCATTCCAGTTCCGGCCTGTACATTCTCATGGTCTTCTCCCTGCACAGTGTCTGGCCCAAACTGTCCCTTTTTATGAGAACATGGTCATATTGGATTGGGGTCCACCCTACTCCAGTGTGACTCATCTTAACTAATTACATCTTTGAAGATCTATTTCCAAATAAGTTCACATTCTAAGGTGCTTGGGGTTAGGACTTCAACATATGGATTTTGGGGGACACAATTCAACCTACGAAACAGCAGAAAATATTTTGCACAGAAATGAAAAAGTTGATAAAGAAACATAACAGGGGAAATCGCCTACATTGTGGTTCTTTGGAGCCTTCTAAATAGTGTGACCAAAACTTGATGACAGTGAATACTATTCCAGCCTTCTGTTTTATCACAAAACTATTTGGGAATTTGTCATCACTTTTTCCTAAAATAAGTTGGCAAAGTCACTGTTTTGCACTAAGGAAATCAACTTTGTGGGTGGGCTTCAAAGAAAAGGATGTTGGACAGAGTTCAGAAGGAGACATCAGTAGCCACATGGAACCCAGATCACTCTGAGAACAGGGCAGAACTTGAGCACTTGGTCAGCAACTTTGAAGTTTGCATTTAGTGTGGATGCCAGGGCTGGGGTTCTCCACCCAATGGAATCCCCAAGACCGCTTTCAAGCAATGTCAGATGCAGCTCCTGAGCAGGCCCATGAAGCCAGACCCTTCCAGGTGGAGGCCAGGCCCAGGCGATTCTGACCCCCAGCCGGAGGGGATCACAGCTCAAGACAGCTGAGGCATAAATGCTCTGGGTGGCCAGCGAGGTTTGTCCACAGCGCTTCCTGCCTCTCAGTGAGGGGTTTACCTTCCCTCCAGCAGCAACCATAGATCAGGGCCCACCTGACACTTCAGGGGCTCCCCAACCCCTGTCCCTTTCCTACTTTCCTTCCTTCACTGGTAATCCCATTATCTGAAAATTCCCCAGCAACTTTCCTTCATCAAAATTTAGCCCAACCACAGCATACCAAAACTTATGGGTGCAGCAAAAACAGTGCTAAAATGGAAGTTTGTGGCAATAAATGCCTACATCAACAAAGAAAGATCCCAAATAAACAACCTAACATTACACCACAAGAAACCAGAAAAAGAACAAACTAAGCCCAAAGTTAGCAAAAGGAAGAAAATAATCAAGATTAGAGCAAAAATAAATGAAATGGGGAATAGAACAGCAGTAGAAAAAATTGACAAAACTAAGTTTCCTGTAGTGATCATTTTATAATGTACATGGATAGCAAAACATCATGTTGTTCATTTCAAATATATACAATTTTTATTTTTAAAAAATATAATGAGATTCACCTCACGCCTATTATGTTGGCTAATATCAAAAAGCCAAAAGATAAGTGTTGGTGAGGATATGGAGAAAAGGGAATGCTTATACACTGTTGGTGGGCATGTTAATTAGTAGAGCCATTATGGAAAACAGCATGGAGCTTCCTCAAAAGGTTAAAAATAGAACTATGATTCAGGAATTCCATTTCTGGGTATATATTCAAAGGAATTGAAATAAGGATCTCAAAGAGATATCTGCACCCCATGTTCATAGCAGCATTATTCACAATAGCAAAGCCTACATGTCCGTTGACAAATGGATAGATAAAGAAAATGTGGTATACACAATGGAATACTAGTTGGTCTTAAAAAAAGAAATAAAACCTGTCATTTCCTAGATGAACCCAGAAGACATTATGCTAAATGAAATAAGCCAGACACGGAAGTACAAATACTACATGATACCACTTATATGATAAATCTAAAATAGTCAAACTCATCAAAGCAAAGAGTGGCATGGTGGTTGCCAGGGGTTTGGGGTTGGGAGAAATGGGGAGAAATTAATTAAAGGCTACAAAGTTTCAGCTATGCAAGATATATAAATCTTAGTGACCTATCATACAGCTTAGTGCTTATCGTTAACAGTGCTGTACTGTATACTTCAAATTTTACTAAGAGAATAGAGTCAATCTTATGTCAAGTGTTTTTATCATCATCATAATGATAATGATAAGAACAAGAGGAAACTTTTGTGGGTGATGGATAAGTTTATGCCATAGATGGTGGTGGTGGTTTTTCAAGTCTATACTTACCTCCAAATTCATCAAGTTGCATGCATTGATTATGTAAAGCTTTTAATGTTAAAAAATTAAATAAAGAATACTGAAGCATTTCTCCTATTTTCTTCTAGTGGTTTTATAGTTTCAGGTCTTACATTTAAGTCTTTAATCCATTTTGAGTAGACTCTTACAGATAGTGAGAGTTAAGGATCTAAAAAAAAGTACTGAAAAAAAACTTTAGCCTAGCTTGCATCCATTCCTTCAGCGGATGAACAGAGGAATGCTTAGATTACCTACCTCCCACTCTGCGGTTAATGGGTGGGTACTAGTGAGCCACGTGTGTATCCATTTTAGTAGACTCCTGACTCTTTTAAGACTTTACTGTGGTGAGAACACTACCTCTCTTTTATATCCTGGATCTAGAATTACTCTGCATTGTTTGTTAAATATACAGATTCTCAGCCTTCCTACACTGTCTAAGACTCTCTAAATTAACATCCCTAGGAGAAGGACTAGAAAATACATATTTTTTAAAAGCACCTTTGTTATTTGTAACAATGTAGCAAGTTTGGGAAATACCACATTCCCTCCCTTAATTCTCAACATGACTCTTTTAAGGAGGCATTATTACCATTGCTCTTGGGTACTGATGAAGGGACTTGGTTTAGGGAGTAACTTGTGCACAGTCATATGGACCATAAGCTAGAGAGGCCATTTTAGACATAGTGGCAGGATGAATGGAAGGAATATTTTGGGATCAGAAGGAGGTTCAGGGTTTCTGATATTTTTGGGATCACATTCTTACACATACACATCCATCATTTTTTAGCCCTGGCAAAGAATAATAACCTTAAGCTATTTTCTAGAAAAAACCTCTGAAAGTCTGCCAGACCACAAGACAGCTATCATGACCTCATGGGTGGGGCAAAGGAGTATGAATTAAGGGGCATTTCCCATCACTGTTACCTGTGGGATCCAGGAGTTATATTATAAACATCAAAGCAGACAGCGTTACTATCGCTTTCAGAATATCAGAGCACAAAAATTATGTGCAAAAAGAAATTGCATTACTAGGGGCTAAATACATGTTTACCACTAAATAAAACAACTTTTATCTCTGGCCTTGTTTTACAGGCAAAAGTGTACAAGAAGGAAATAATGATGATCAGTTTTTTGAGAACTAGTGGATTAAATGAAAGTGTAATCATTGCTCTAAGTTTGATGTAGATTCAACGGTAGAATCACAACAGAAGTAATTAGAGTAATTATTAAAGTCTGTATTTAGTCCAAAAGCCCCAGAGAATATTATGTGTTCATTCATCTGAGCCTGATGTGCTTCCTATTAAAAATATGCACTGTTTCTGGAATCTTCTGCTGGTCTGTTCTTCGGTGAGCACCAGTTTGGGACGACATCTTTGCCTCAGGTGTGTCTCACTGTGATGCTTTCTGGGAAGCTACTTGAGGGTACCATTCAAGGAACTTAAAAATAGCAAGAGATAGTACTAATGCCTCTAAGATTATCTAGGTGTTAATGACAGCCATGCATTTTCCTGAATTTTGCACCAAGGTTAGAATCTGGAGGCTAAGCATTCTCAGTGAAAGATTGGCCTCCTGACCATTTCTCTTTAAGATCTAGCAGAGCCAAATGTCCTTAAGGACAGAGTAATTAAGTTTAGCCTATGTTGGACTTTTATAATTATCTTCTAGAACCAAGCTTACTTCTGGGTGATCCCACCTGAAAAGAATTGGCGGAAAATAATACCCAAACCATGAAGGCCTCAATTTACTCTTAGTTTGTTGACTTTTAATCATTTTATATGAATCTACAGGCTTCAGTAAAAAGGGTAATTGTTTTCTCCATTGCAAATTGTAAAGCATGATGAAATTGGCTCACAGTGGTCTGTAGACACTAAAGTATGCTGTGCAAAGTCATACTACTCTGTGATAAAACTATATTTATGATCTATTTACATAGGAAAGAAATGAATTCAATAGCAGATCAAAGGGGGTAATTTGGGAGTTCAAATAATTATTCATTAATTACAACACCTATGAAGTTTTTGAGGGCCCAGATGGCAGACTACAGGCAGCCCACACATCCCTCTCAAACAAAGAGGATCAAGAGTGGTAAGTAGATATTCACCTTCATATTAATGGTCTATGAGAAAGCATTGGCAGTCAATGGAGAGGCAATAGGGAGCGCTCAGAGTGAAGGTAAGGCATCTGGGGTGACAATCTGGGTAGTGCTGCCACTGATGGACCTGAATAGGGAGAGTGCTCATGCTCTTGCCACCACCGCCACCACCGCCACCAGGCCTGGGCAGGGTGAACACTCATGTTGCATGCACCAACCACCCACTGCACTCCCACAGCTCTGACCACCCATGAAAACCACAGGGGAACAGGGAGATGTAGGAATGCAGCAGTGTTAAAGGCTCTCAGTGCACCTGCCCCTCTCCTGCCTGGTCAGTCTTCCAGAGTAGTACTCAAGTGTGCCATTCATGGACCTCTACCCTTCTACACTGAGCAAGAGTTCCCAGCAGAGGAAAACAGGTGCATCACAAAGCTATCCATTTTGAGCTAAGAGAAGAGACTCCAGATGAGAAGAAACCAGCATAAGAATTCTGGCAACATGAAAAAGCAAACTGTTGTGACACCCCCAAAACATCACACTAGCTCTCTAGCAATAATCTCTAACCAAAAGTAAATTTTTAAAATGTCAGATATGGAATTCAGCATGTGGATATCAAGTAAGATTGAGGAATTGATGA